TGGTATAGCATGTCAGATCAAATAATGGTTTCCATATAGGAAATACATGTTTGGTTCCTGTCGGAGAAGGCATATTTTCTACGAAATTTCTCAAACATTCAGGCTAGTAAATGTAATTGATACTATTTAATTAAAAACTTAAATTGTATCTATAAAAATAATGAATAAACAGAAAATATATTAAATATTTGTCAGATTTAATACATTTCCTATGATATGTTGTCATTGTTTACATTAGGATACCAAATCAGAGCAGATATGATAGATCAGCAAAAGTGTGTATTTAAAAGCATTAATTCAAGCTTTGCTTAACCAGAAGTTCTCTGTGGCTGAACAGTTAGAGCACCAGGTATTGAACTCACGCTCTTTGGGTACTGTCACTGGATCTAACTAATGCCTTAATGTCACAGTGGATAAAGGTGGTAGATCATGACAGGACCCAAAGTGTGTGAGTTCAATACCTGGTTAAGACGGTGGAGAACTTGTAGAGGGAATTAAGCAGGAGATATCTTTTACCTGATATCCATTAAAACATGGCACGTGGAACTAGAACAGTCTACCCCAGTGAGTAAAAGAAAGGGTTCAGTTTGACATTCCAACCACCTGGAGAAGGCCGGAGCATACAACGATCGAAACATTGTAATAATTATGGTGACAAAGATGAGGAGAATAGTCCAAATAATGTAAATAGTGTACATAATACCTCATCTCAGAAATATAGACAGATAATGTTTTCCGATCTTTTTTTTTTAACTCTCAGTATTGCTTCTATTAGGGAGAAACAATTAAGTGAATATGTTTTTAATTCAAGTTGTACATAACTTAGCTCCTCTCCTCAAACAGATATTTTAACTCTTAACTCTTGAAAATCGGCACTCAAAATTTTGGCTTTTATCTTGACTCAAATACTGATCATTGACTCCATTAAGAAATACATGGATTCACAGGAACATTTATTATTAGAAAATAAACTCTGTGAAACCCTGGGTTCATCACAGAGGATTTTATTTTTTATCTGGATGGAGGAGTTGGCAATTATTTAATTGGACTCCAAATAAATTATCTTCCCTTAACAAAAATATAGCCTTGTCAACATTTAGTTCAAGTTAATGGTTGAAATAAAATTCAAACAGTCAAGAAGAATAGACATTAACAAAAAGAATGAGAAAGTGGTGGTTTCAAATAAAATAGGAATAATTATTTTAACAAATAATATAAAATCTTTTAAGATTGTCTGTGAAATATGCAAATTACCACACCTTACTTTACTAAAAAAATTGTTGCTAGGGGACGCTCCTCTCCTTAAGTCTATAAATAGGCAATGATAGGCTCACCCACTCTCTTTTCTCTTGGACAATAAGATGTAGTTGTACATAGTAAAAAAAAAACGTTCTCTTTACTTTCAATTACTTTTCTCTCAGACTTCTACTCAAACTTCATACACAGCAACACATTCTTTAGTTTAAATGTTTTCGTGTAGTACAGTCTTTAAATGTTTTCTTGTAGTACAGTCTTTAAATGTTTTCTTGTAGTACAGTCTTTAAATGTTTTCTTGTAGTACAGTCTTTAAATGTTTTCTTGTAGTACAGTCTTTAAATGTTTTCTTGTAGTACAATCTTTAAATGTTTTCTTGTAGTACAGTCTTTAAATGTTTTCTTTTTTTTATTGTCTATATATACTTTTAAGATATGCATTGTCATTTGTTTTATATACTATTTTGTGTTATTCATTTATTACTCGGACTCACATTTGAGTCCGCAATAATCATTACGGCGGGGGGGGGGATGTACCAGGAGATGTGCTTTCTACCTAAACACAACTAGCATTCCCACAACAAATGAAATGGATATTTCTAAGTGGTAAAAAGTTAAAGTTGGCCACTGGAGAAAGGAAGTAATATGAGCGATATATATGTGTGTGTGTGTGTGTGTGTACAGGACTTGTAGATGTTGTTCCTTAAATATGGGGTTAGTAGAATCAAGCAAGGTATTTTTTGAAAGAAGAAATAAAGTATTCTGATGGATCGATAAACTAGAAAATCATTTCCTTTCAAACTCTGACAACTTGTCTGTTTATTGATGTCCGAGTCCTTTGAGATCTGAATTAGAGATTTTACTTTGAAAGATTCTTTTCTTAGTGACTAACTAAAATAATTGTTGATATGCCAAGCTATATTTGACCAATCTGCTTTAAGTCAATACAAACGTTTTCTTTTCCCAACAAAAAGGTTCAAAGTATAACTAACTCATCTTGTCTGCAAAGCTGAGGTATGTGGTAGACTAAGGTTTAACAGTTATTTTGACAACGTAAGAGGTATGTTCAGTCTCTGCAAAGAATTTCATTATTTGATGACGATATAAAAAATAAAAAAAAAAAGTTTCTACTCAGACACCTGCACCCACTAAAAATACAGTGTAACCCGGATATAAGAGAAACCCGGATATAAGAGAGATTTTCTCTGGTCCCAAATTAGAGCCTGTGTTAATGTATATAAATTAGACCAAACCCGGATATAAGATAAACCCGGATATAAGAGACTTCTTCTCCGGTCCCAACAACTCTCTTATATCCGGGTTACACTGTAATATTTATTATAAGAAATAATAAAGTCATTAATTATTTTAAGTTTTTGGTACAAAAACAAACCTAGCAAATATGGATTTCAAAATGTTTTAATGAGATTTGTATTGTTTAGCTAAGCAATCAAAAGTATGTCAAGCTTAAAATGTTCCCCCCCCCACCAATATAATAGGAACAAAAGTTTGATCTCTGCCAAGAGGCACATTTTCACTATTCGCATTGTCTGAGCTCTAAAGGTTAATTACACTACTTAAAAACCCAGGATGTCTTCTCAAATACATTTATCCACCAACTATAATGTCTATAATAAGAAAAACTAATGTCAGATTTTAAAAAATCCATTAAGAATGGAAATTAGCTTTGTTTTCAAACATAAACAATTAAATATAGACTTTGAAAGGTTCCAATGAGTGGTGTATATTTCTGGAGGTTTGCTTTGCTTTTTATATGAAAAACAAGTTTGCTTTTATAGTCAACCAATGCAACAAAGCTGGATAGATGAAGAACATGAAAACCTAATCCACTTTTGGTTCTTAGTTAACAATTTCTTCTCTTGCATTTCTCCCTTACAAACCTCTCTGGTGGCTTTTTGCTTTATAGTCAAAAATTTAATGTAATGTCAATCATTATCTTAACTTCTGTTCTTTCATTGTTCTCTCCCCTTAATAAGGTTTTCGTTTTTCATTCTCTCACACTCAGTAACCCCTTGCGTCTTAGTGGTTTTATTGCCTTGCTTTGGGTGAAAAGATAAAAAGAAAAAAAAATGACATTTTCAAAACTTTTCTTTCTACCATTAATCCAATATTTTTGCTGTTGTAGAGCAAGAATTAATGAAGAAGACAAAGGTTTGGTATCTCAATTATTTTTTTCTTTCTAATAACCTCCACACCTCTCAATCCAATTTGACACCAAATACAAACAAAATTCTTAGTTTTTTGTGTGGTGCTGGGATGCCAAGCTGAGTCGAGTACTTCATTTTTGCTTAAGAATGTGTAACAACAACAACAATGAAAAAACGGTTTTGTTTGTGAGAGAAGAGGGGGATGCCGAGAGATGCACTTCCAGACATGTTTTCTTCTCAAAGAACTATGTCGAGGTACCTTTTATGAAGTTTTTGGTTGACGTGTTTCTACAACGCAACTATTGTTAACTTTCAACACACCTCTAATCATTGTTGATAAATGTCTCAACTTTCCCCTCTCGTCATTTTTTTATGTTCCCGATTTTACTTTAAGGCTTCTCTTTTATGAAACCGACTTCTTTTTATTTTACCTTCACTCAAAATGCACTTTAACATTACCAAGTATTTTTTTTTCACCTGTTTTTCCTTCAGTCAATGACTGATGTAGATTGCCCGTAACTTGTCATATTTTTCCAGAATTAATCATTCAAAGAAAGCGATTTTTTTATATATATATATATATATAATTATAAATTAATTGATTTAAAATGTTTGTTTGTTTTTTTTTTTCACTACACAGTGCTAACCATGTTTCAAAAATGGAAGCTAAAAGCCATAAATTTAATTTTGTGATTAAATTAAAAACATTAATTCCATTTCATCCTCAAGCGAAAATTCGCTTAAGGATGAAATGGAACTGATGTCTTTAATTTAATCACAAAATTAAATTTGTGGCTTTTAGCTTCCATTTTTGAAACATGGTTAGCACTGTGTAGCGAAAAAAAACCATATTTTAAATCAATTAATTTATAATACTAATGCTCTGTAAATTTACATTGAGCACTATTTTGTAAAAATAAAAATATATAATCCGGTGTTCTTATAGATATCTTGCTGTTCTTTCTTTTTATTTATATATATATATATATATATATATATATATATAAAAACTGAACCCTTTATTTAATCAACACATGTAAACTATTCTTGTTTCACTACAAAATAACAGCAAAGATGAGGGTGACTAAATATAAATTGGATAAATTATAACTCCACATCCCAGAAATTCAGGCAGAATGTCTCTTAAATTGGTTTAATTTTACAATATTACACAAGAATATAGTTTTAATTAAAGCATAAATAAACAGATAATTAAAAAGGAACAAAAAGTGAAACTACAACAACAGTTTAATGTGAGAAAGAGACAATAAGAAAATAACAAAATGAGTTAATGGGTTATAACTTCTCACTCATTAGAACTAGACGGAAGTAAAATTATTATGCACAACCGATTTGAAAAAGTTAACTTGATTTGGGTCGCTTCTCTTTGCTAAAACTTTTAATTCTCCTCTCGTAAAATATTTGCTTGATGCAAAATTTATTAACGCTATCTCTAAACAATGTTAGGGAAATCTTAGTGTCTTTGAAGTTTGTCCACCTCTTTATTTCATTTGTGGGCATACTGTCTCAGAATTCAAAGTTATGACAAAGAAGGAAAAAAAAGAAAAAAAAAACTGACCTTGTGGGAAAAAGAAACCAGAGATCCAGAAAGAGAGTGGGGCTCCCAGCTTGATCCAGTAATTGATGAAGGCACACCGTAAGGTCAAGTCTTGTACCCAACTGGCCAGTGGCTTAAGTGAGGGGTAAGCAGCAGTTGTCCACATACCAGGAACCTGGTTGTTGAGGAAAGATATGTAGACACGTTCAAGTTCATCGCTCATAACGACAAAGCCTTTGATCGCATTTTTCAGTTGATGGAGGGATTCCTGTCAAATAAACAATTTAAAAACAGTTTCTAAATATTGCCATGCTTATGTCTGTCTCTTAAGCAAGAGCCACTCAGGGTAGAGGGTTACTGTTAAATTTTTACAATGAGGTGTATGGCATGAATGGAAGGGGGTTAATTCATTTTCTATGGTTTATTAACCCTTTGCAGAAAATATTCTTTATGATCCCACCCTATTCTGCTATGCATTTACACAATTTTGTAATGTAACTTAGTTGCTGTTTCTCTCTTGCCTACAATTGTATCATGTGGCTGCTGGTCTCAAACAAGGCAATGAACACACACACATATATATATATATATATATATATATATATATATATATATAAAATCCCAATGTTAATGACTGAATGTACAGTTGAAAGTATTTGCATATTTAAGACCGAATACAGCTTATAATTTTCAAAAACAAGTTTCATAATATTCATCAAGTGATTGGTAGGTTAATACACCTTTAAAATTTTGTTAACGAAGGGATTTTTGCCATTTTATATCATTACCTTTATTAATTTACTTTTTGTATGTATGATTCATTGTAATATAAACTGAACTGCACCACCACATATTTAAAAGAACTGATTTGACGTGCAAAATTTCAGGATAACAACTGAGACATTACTCTACTTTTTTAACTATTTAGTTCATGCCACATTGACTGATAAACTCCTACAACAAAAAATTCTCAAATTGCCATATTAGTAAAAAAATGCACTCACTTAAATTTTCAAAAAGTTTCAAGCTAAGCATTGTAACTGCATGCTCCAAAAGTTTGTATCCGTTATGAATAACACATTTCAAAAAAAAAACAAAAAACATTTCAATTCAAAAGTATATTTTTTTTTTGTCTCTGATATTACCTCAATTTTACCAAAGACAGAATAATTTCCATGCCTGAAGATGACTGAATATACAGTCAAAAGTACTTGCATATTTAAGGACCTAATACAGCTTACAATTTTCAAAAGCAAGGATCATAACATTCATAGAGTGATTGTTAATGAATGCATTTTTAAAATTTTGTTAGCAAAGGAATCTTGCCATTTTTTATCATTAGCTTTACTAATTTACTTTTTCTATGAATGATTCATTGTAATATCTATCTATATTGTTCAAGTTGCAGCGAATGGGTAGAGTGAGGGATAATCAAAGAGATCAGGTTTGTGCACACAGAAATTGATGGAGACATTATCTTTGAACGTCAAGCCAGCCTCTCTCCCAGATCAAGAATCGGACTGTTATATAACATTTGGACACCTACACAACTTCACATAGCTACACTTTCTTCCAGTATGTTGCCTACACAACGTTGTAAGGCCATGCCTCTTCCGGCATGCACCCATGCAAGCAGGCATTTCCTTCCATTCAGGACAACCTGTGCATCCTGTTTATTCAAGGCTCAGGACACCTGTATGTCCTGTTTATTTTAGCCTCTTGATGCATTTACTGTTTATGCTATCAGCAGTTCCAATTTCTGCTCACACACTGATGCAGCAGAAATAAGGTCAAAAGTCTTTCCTCAACTGACATCCGATACAATGTCCTGTGAGTGTTAAGTTTTCCAAGCCTTCTTTCCTAGAAATGCCAACATTTCTTTCTGATTCTAAGTAGAAGGGTATTCTTTGTTTCCAAATGTAGAATTTCATCCCCATTGCCTCAAGTTTCCTCTTCATCTGTGAGTAGATCATTCAACATTCACTGCCATAGAGAAAAACTGATATTAGATAGCAATTAATTACTCTTTTCTTAACACTTTGAAGGATGCCTCCCAAAAGTTAAGCAATGTCCGTTCGAATTACAGTATCACATTTTCTGTCCTGTTTTAAAATACTCTCCAGATAATTAAATTTAGTTACATGCTTGATTTGTTTTGACTAAGTTCTCTCTTGGCCTTCTTCATCGTACACATCTTGGTTATCTACTTAAGAACCAAGAAAATAATAAATTACTATTGTTTGAGTTTTTGCCTGGAACATAGCAACTATGTAACAACAGAACTCCTAGTCAGTGTCTGTCCCTGTGGTGCAGCCACTTCAACAACATGGAACACAGGCTCTCTTTCAGCTCTACGGAATCCATCCCTCCTGGCTTCAGTGAGGCCTGGCCCTGCTCGAACCACCTCTGAAAAGCTATTGCAGTAAAGCCAATATTCAGATATGCCACTGATGGTTTGCTTTTTGTTTTATGACATATCAACCTCAACAGGTTATTTAATTCCAACAAGATTTTTATTGCTGGTAATTTTTTTTTTTTTTTTTTTTGAAAATGTACTGCTGGTATTAAAACCTATTTTTACACCTTCATAGTGTTTTCACCCCAGTCTGGGAGTTAACTATTTGCCTAGAGCTGGAACCTTAACAGGTGCTACCACCCTGGGTCAGGTTGAATCTAGGAACACCAGCAATTAAGAGGTGGTACCACGCTCCTCAAAACCTCCTGGCAAAAGGCCTTGTTGCTGGATATAGTAGTTTACCATCATATCCAGGACAGATATGCCACTGATGAAAATCCCGACTGTCAATGCAGGCAATTACAAACTATAGAACATCTTCTAGTTTGCCCCAATCTTGAATATTCGTGCACACTTAATAATCTTGAAAATATAACAATAAGGCTTTGTGCGCAACACTGGATGGTGTAATGTCGCAACTGAATAATAGTAATAACAATGTAACAGCTGAAGACAACTTAAGAATTATCCAGTCAAAATATTTCTTTGCAATTTATCAGCAATTTTTATTTTTTGGAGATTTCGAGCAAGGTGAGTCTAAAATGGAAATCAAGACGGACTAACGGCTAATACCACGGACAAACTGAAATGTTAAGGCGAGTTCAAATTTTACCTGAGATCATTCATATTTACCCCACACTGGAGAAAAAAAGCAAACTAAACTTTCAAGTTTTGAAAGGGCATCCAGTATAAAAGAAAAATTCTGATCAAAACAAAAATTAACACAAAATCACTCTTTTTCCTAGATAGAATCATGACAATGCACAATTTGCAGATATTATGTAAAATAGAAAATGTGGTGATCCATGATTGCCTAAATTCTGATGAAAAACAAATGGAACTTAAGCAGTAGGATTATAGCAATTTGGTACAATTGTAGTCCACCCAATGAGGTTCAAAGTTACAAAGTTCTTTTCAGAAAGTTCCAGGAATTTTACACGACTCTGATTGGATTGATTGGTATTTTATGGTTTATCAAACACTTGCAGGTCATTTAAAACCAGAAAATATTTTTAGATTAAGAATTTTGGTGGGGTAGGAAGATAATGACTGGTTTCGTGATACAAGTGTTAATAATTAAACCATAGCTAGGGATTCATATTTTTCCCAAGGGTATAGTGATTTTTCAAGCATAGCTTAGATGTGGCACAAGGCCAAATGTATGGGGTGCCCAGTGAGGATCGAACTCACTACTCGGTCATAATTGTTGTAGAGTCAAGCTTGCTAACCATTACACTGCCTCGGGGTGCCGAATCTTTCCCAAGGGTATATGTGTGTAGGTGAATAAAATGAACTGAACGAGAATTGAAACTTGGCTCTCCGATTTAAAAATTCTGAGCCATTATCCATTACATCACCTGATATTCCCAAGCGGTCACCCATCTAGGTACTAAACAAGCTCAATGTTGTTTAGCTTCAGTGATCGTATGGGAACCAGTGTTTCAACATATGGCTGCAAGCCCCTATTCTGATTAGACAGTTTATTGGAAGAATATGTGTGCCTTAATGGTGCTTAAGTTACTGCATCAGTCTACCAATTGGTTCAGTGTTGTTTGCTAATGTTCAGTTGTTACTTGAGATTATGTGAACTTTCACATCCTTTTAAGTAGAATTTATCTTGCTTCCTAGGTATGTAAAAGATTCAACGGATTTTATTGATTCACCTGAGACAGTTTGTATTGAGCCTTGCTGGTTGAAGCCCACAAATTCAACTTTAGATGCATTGACAAAACATCCAACATTATTTGCAGGAGTACTGTGTCATTGGTAATAGCCTCTGTAGCGCTTGAATAAAACAGATGTAATCTGTAAATCTGATCTACCAGACAACCTCCTGCAGAGATTCTTTCAAGCCACTGCAGAGTTAATGTAGTGGTTTTTTTCCATGCATAGCTTAGATGTGGCACAAGGCCAAAAGTAGAGGGCCCCTAGTGAGGATCAAACTCACTTTTCCATAGTAACTGATCCAGTAAGACGAGCTTGCTAACCATTACACAATGCTGAGGTGCCCTTTTTAATGAACAAGTTATGACTTTTTGAAACATTTCAGTTTTTCAGTGGTCACCCTACAGCAATTTTCCAAGTATTGCTTAGATGTGGCACAAGGCCTAAAGTTAGGGGACACCCAGTGAGGATCAAACTCACTACTCAGTTGTAATTGTTCTAGAAAGGCAAACTTGCTAGCCATTACACCGCCTCAAGGTGTTCCTGTAGAGTTAATGTATGGCGCCACTGCCTGGATATTAACTAAAACCCTACAGTCTAAGTTTGATGGAACTTACACTCGGATGCTTAGAGCTATACTTAACTTCTCTTGGAGACAACATCCAACTACATTACAACTCTTTGGACCCATCCCTGATATTTCTACAATTTTAAGTGAACACAGTATGCACTTTGTAGGACATGGCTGGTGAGTAAAACAAGAACTCCAAAGTGATTTTACTGCTTTGGACACCTAGCCATGAAACAAAATGAGTTGGTCGCCCAGCAATATGTACATTGTCCAGGTATGTTTTGACACAGAATGCCATTCTAATGGACTTCTGACCTTGATGCAGCACTGGGATGGTTGGTGTGATACTCACAAATGTCCCAGTTAATGTGACCGAATAAATGCTATTTTTTTTGATAGCTGATAAATTCAAGTAACATGCCTGAAATGCTTGTAAAGAAGCATGGATAGTGTTTACTCATAACCAAATTGTATAAACCTTCTTTTCCATTCTACTCTCCAGGTTTCTTCAAGTGCATGTAACCTTCAGGTAATTTCAAACTGAATTAATATACTGGCCATGTCTATAGATATATTGTCTAGTGCTTTGAAGTTTCAACTGAGTCCAATTACACACTGCCTGGTCCAGGGATTGAACTCACAATGACTCTGTCATCAAATTCAAAAACCAACACATTAGCCGAGAACTTTTAATCCTAACCTGCCTGCTGATGAGACTCCTGTTGCTGTTTGCACTCACCAAGAGTTCTTGCTCCTACTGTGGCTGCTGTTAAAGCCTTGCTGTCATTTCTCTCTTTCATTAACATCTCTTGTATTGTATTTATTTCTATGCTAAGCCTGCTAAGAAGATTCACATGGCCTAGCACATGCACTGTTTCTTTCAGTCATCTGATTTTCCATTGTTCTTCTGTCTTGTAGTTTTACTTTATTCCATATGGGCTGATGACTAGTCTTTTTCCTCCAGACATGATCTTAGCCATTGTCTAACCCTGGCTTTTTGATATTCCTACAACCTTAGTTTTAGGGGGCAGCTAGTTCCACCTTTATATTCTTTGCCACTACTGCAAGTGATAGAATACACACAGTTCTTGCTTATGTTTTCTTTGGCATGAGATTTGAATATTGTCCCAATGTTATATGGTCTGTTGATCTTTTCTGATAAGCTGTTAATGTAAGGAAAACTACGACAATTTTCTAGCCCTCTTTCTTGATACTTTTGTTTCTATCTACAGAAGCGGATGCCATATTTGTAGGATCCTTGCTTTTGGTGCATGTCTGGGTTACCACTGCATGATTTTTGTACAGTGCATACTTTTTACTTAATTATAAATATTAAATTTATAAACTGTGTATTGCTATGGAGAGATAGTTTTGTGCTGCTTTCTCTAGTTTTGAATTTAGAACATTCCTTCTATACTTGATATTCTACCAAGGCTATGAAGTGTTGTCTACCCTTTTGTTTTAAATTGTAGGTGAGGGTGAATGGTTTGGTTTGTTTTACTGTATATCAACCTCAATGAGTTATTTAATTCTGACAAGATTTTTATTGCTAGTAACAATTTTCAAAAGTGGTAATAATTTTTTTTCTTCAAAAATTCATTGCTGGTATTAAAACCTTTCATAGTATTTGACCCCTGTTTGGGGGTTAACTATTTACCCATAGCTGGGATCCTAACAGGTGCTACCACTCCAGGTCAGAGTGGACCTGGGAACACCAGCAATTAAGAGGTGGTTCTATGCTCTTCAAAACCTCCTGAGCAGAGGCCTTGCTGTTGGATGTAGTTTATCATCTTACCCAAGATGCGGATGTGGTTTATCGTCTTATCCAGGACATGTGTGAAGAGGAGATGGATATGTCTTTCCCGAGGGTGTTAATATGAAGTGAGTATAATTAAGATATTTATGAATATAGGGGGGGATTACAAATTCAAGCATTGTGCCCGTATCCTATTAAGCATCAAATCAGCAGCTGCTTCTATGGACATGAGCAATCATGGCTCTCCAAAGCTTCCAAACTCTTGTGGCCTTGAGCAGTTTTTTGTACTTTTGCTAAGATCCCCATCCCACAGTTCCTCCATCCATTCACACAAGCATTTCAGATAGGTGGTTAGCTGCCCTCCGCTATCTCTCTTGACCCCGTGAGTGTTAAGTTTTCCAATCCCTCCTTCCTCATTATGTGTCAAAGAAATTTAAGCTGACTCTTCCTGTTTTTTAGTATAAGTGTTCTTATTCACTTCATCCATTATTATTCTTCTATAGAACCACATTTCTGCTGCCTTTAGTTTTCTCCTCATCCTTTTTTGTCCAGAATTCATTGCTATATAAGAGGATGGATATCACATACCAATCTTTTTCTTTATTTCAAGTAAAGTTTTTCTACTTCTTTTGGAATGTATCTTTTGCTAGTCCAATGCATGTTCGAATTTTGGAGTCGCATTTTCCATCCGCTGTTAAAGCGCTTCCCAGATATTTAAACTTCTGTGCTTGCTTGACATTGAAATCTTGCACCTTGGGCTTTTTCTCTTCCTGATGACCATACTTTCTGTCTACTTGCACGTGATGGTTACTCTCTTTTTTTTATCTTGCCTTTTATTTTTTTTACTCTCATGCCTGGGAGGTCTTGATGGTTTAACTTTCATAAAACTGCTTATAAATTATCACTTCTGAATAAATTGTGACCATAAAATACAAACTTTACATCTTACCAGCTCTCTTTTCATTTCTAATGAAATGCTTTGCTAAGCATAATATATAATATATTTTCATAAAAAATAGTTTGCACAAAACTGATATTTATCTATATGGGTATTTTCCGTTAGAAGTAAATGATCATGGCTCTTCAGTTTCCTCTTTCTGTAAACCGTATGATTAATTTTCATAAGTTTTTATTGCTTTCTCCATGGTTTTTAATTCAAATGGTTTGGTTTATTTTGTTTTGCAACATATCATCCTCAATGGGTTATTTAAAGCCAACAATATTTTTAAGATATATTCATATGAATAGAATATGTATTCTTCGTAAAAATTAATTTGTAGCTCAGGTTTCATTGACATATTTATGTAAAGAGGGTTGTTGTCGAGAGTCAAATGTGTTGCTGGTAATGTGTTGTTTTTTTTTTTTGTTTGTTTTTTTTTCAAAAATGTATTGCTGGTAATTTTTACTATATTACATTCATAGTGTTTTGACCCCAGTTTGGGGGTTAACTATTTGTCCATAGCTAACTAACAGGTGCTATCACCCTTGGTCAGAGTGAACCTAAGAACAACATCAATTAAAAAGTGGTTCTACTTTCCTCAATCAGTGACCTTGCTGCTGGATGTAGTTTATCGTTATACCCAGGGACTAAATTCAGAATTGTCCTTTTAGAAACATAAAAGGCACAGTACTTCTACTATTTAACTGATAGCTGAGAAGAGAAAGAGACAGAAACATATTCCCAAGTGTGCTAGCCAGCCTCAGCTAGAATTTGAACTCTACCTGATGATTCCATTTTTGTACTGATAACAATTATATTAATGAGACATCCATTGCATGTAATGTATATTTGAAAACTCTCTCTGTGTACTTGAGACTTTTTTTCATTAAAAAGAATGTTGAATGAAAGGCGAAGGCGGCTTCTTTTAGAAGAATACAAGAATTATGAAAATATTGGAGGATACCTCGGCTAGTGTTTTGGATCTTTCCTTTAAAAAGATCTAGATTCTGTCCATGCACACACATTCTGAGTTTTGTTACACTTTACTCGACTATAGATATGTTTTTATTACTTGCAGAAGAGGCATTAGCATTTCTGCTTCATTGCAGGTAAAGTCAAAAGCCAGCTGGAATTAAATGAAGAGCCCTTTTGAACTTGTATGCCCCATTTCTCTCCTCTGTCACTAACAGTCACTCCCAACCAAATTTTATGCCCTCAATTTGCTTTTTATATCTCTACACTACCTTCCTATAATATCTTTTCCCCTTCTTTCTCACTACTACTCCTTTCTCTCTCCCTCTTTCTCTGTGCCTCCTCTCTCACCTCTAGCCTCTTCCCTCTCTCGCCTCTAGCCTCTCTCGCCCTCTCTTCTTGCTCCTCTTTCTTTGTACTTTCTCTCCTCTCCCTCTCTGTACGTTCTCTCTAATGAATATAGAAAAAATGAAAATTCCTTACTTTGATTATTTGCAGAAGCTTGTTGAAGCGATCCACTTCTTGTATAAGGACTGTTGTCAAAGAATTTGTACGCCCTTTGTCATCCAACTTTAAAAAGAAGAAACAAAAACAATTATGAACGTCTTCAGACAACACATCTAACAATGACAAAATGGTCTATTTTAGAAAAAAACAGAGGGTAAGAGTGGAAGTAATATTTAATATGGCATACCTTTTAGATGGAGTAGACTCCTATCATTCTCCACAATTTGCTTTTTTTTATTTTTTGTTGCTTTAATTCTTGCCCCATCAAGCGATCAACAACACTTAAATAGATTTTAGTATTTCTGCAAATTACAAAGGGATATTCATTAATCTATCAAAAATGAATAGTTGGTTACATTGAAGGAGTTGGTCAGCATTCTGGACAAGCTGATCATTAGAGTTTCCATTTTATTATTTAAATATCAGATCATTTTGTAAACACCTATGCTGATAATAGGACTATATACAGGTGAACTTCTAAAACTCTCAATGGTCAGAGAATGGCAACTGAACTCTTCCAATCTTGCACAAACTACCCAATGGGGTAAAAACTGCTGGTTAAATTCAATGCCTCAAATACCAAGCTAGTTACATTCCAGTATCACTGATCTGACCCTGAACTACCAGAGAAGCACCATGCTTTGTAAGACAGTTGGGTCTTAAACTCTCACCCAACCTCAAGTGGAACTCATACATAAGATCCATTGCTAAGGCTGGAGGTAAAGTGGTCAGCTCTCGGTACTGCTCCAGTCAGTACCCAACTCCTCTTGCTATCTTTTATCTTTACAAGAGCCAGATCTGGCCAAAAATGGAGTACTGTTGTCATATTTGGGCAGAAGCATCTCCAAGCCCTTGTGGGTGATAAACTATTCTCCACCCTTCAACCTCTCTACCACAGATGGGGTGTGGCAAACCTCTAGCTGCTCTACCACCACTTCCACAGAAAGTGCTTGGACAAAATACATTCCCTGGTCCTGCAAACATCCATGAATGTGTAGGAATCCTTCTACTCAGTTTTTTATTGAATGTTAAAATTCAGAGTGTCGGGATTCAATACAATAACAAAGTATTGTTGCTGGGTTGCTTGTAATTCAGCCATTTAAAATACTCACACAATTTTCATTGAAAGAATAAAATTCAGTAAAAAAGACAACATAGTTTCAACAAATAAACATTAATATAACAAGAATACAAGCAGTTAGTGATATATTGGAAAGTAATGTATTTTTGTTTGGTTTGATAAAGTTCTTTAATATAAATTGTCTTTGTATGTATGTGAGAAACAATGAAATGTTGTTATATTTGTGTTTGTATGAAAAAGTCAACACGTGCATATATGATTCATAGAAAAGAGGATACAAGAGATAGTTAGAAATTGTTTCTTACTGTTGACGGTGTTGCCATAGTCTGAAGTTTGTTAACGCTGTCACTTTTAGCATGGGGTCATGAAGATCATAAGTGATAGTTGCGTGGAATTTGGTGACAGCTGTGCGTATCCTGTTTGAGGCTGGATTTTGTATGTTTTTATACACTTTTTAATAAAATTGGCTTCAGAATTAAATCATTTATTTCTTCTTAATTGGCCCTAAAAAGCCACATGGTATGTCTTCTACATCCAGGCAATATTTTGGTGGTATCTACCTAAATCATGCTGACTAATACAAGAAACTTTCTGATTTGTGTTCTATGATTTTATTGGTGATTTAAGATATGTTTTCTTGAGTGTGATTGGTTTATAAATATTGTATTTGATATTTTAGTGGACATGACAAATGCAAACATAAATATGAGTAAATGCAATAAGAAGAATTTAACAAATTATGGGTAAAAAGTTAACACTAAAATTGTAACAAATAATCACATTCCACAATTCTTTCCACTCGATAGACTTGAGAATAATTTGAAACATAATCATTTCCACCTACCTAATAGCCATTAGGATTATACAATAGAACTTAATATCCACAATGGCACCATAGACTAGCATATATAGTCAAGGCAAAATACAACACATGGCCTGAAGATTGCTTTCAAGCATAATAGTGTTGGCACTTAGTGTCCACTTTTATAGCTCTGATATTGTGCACTTTTACCCATGAATATAGCATACATTAAATCTCTCTCTCTCTCTCTCTCATATATATATATATATATATATATATAATGACAGTTGGAAAAATATTCATGAAAGTTTGGGAAAATATATGATAATGCATTTCGCCTACTTTGGGTTTCATCAGACAGAAGATGAAAAAATGAATTGCATGTGTATGTATCTGTATGTTTATCTAAAATAAGATCATCTATATTTTTCCCAAGCTGGCATTACTTGTGACTAGAATGGAAGAAAATGAGTGACTTATTTAAAAATAGTCATTTAACATTTTATATTTTTTTGCTTTAAGTGTCAGTTTAGAGATAGAAATCCATCTGAATAGTTAGAAAATAAATGAAAGATTTGTTTTTATCTATTTGTTCACCATGTTGACAATATTTACAATATTTTAGCAAAATTTTAGCCAAATTACATACACACACACATATATATATATATATATATATATATATATATATATATATATATATATATATATATATATATATATATATATATATATATATATATATATCTTCAGACTGAAGGTTTTATAGAAAAATATATTCATGAAATAAATTATAACTGAAATAGATTTTTAAGGATTTTATATATATATATGGGGAAATGTGCTCAATATCAGAGAGTATGTTTGTATATATTGAACCAAAGAATAATCACTGTCTGGTGACTGTCAGTTCCACACTTCTTTAGACCATGTGTCCTTAATCCTTTCATTGGCTCTCTCTCTTGCATATATATATATATATATATATATATATATAGGTCACTGGGGGTTAAGTGAAGAGGTAGATGAAAAAACCTTCTCTCCCAATTTATTTTGTTCAATAAAATTTTATTTTATTTATAGTCAAGGCCTTATTTATATTTTGTCATTGTTTTTGAGGTGTTGCTGTAAGCAACACATCAAAACATGTACCCTTTGCCTTGTGCAAAGATAATAGCATCATGTCTTTTACAGAACAAGACAAACTCCTAAACAAAAGAGTAACTAAATAAAGACACAAAAGCAAATTCATATTAAGCTACCTACAGCCACATCATGACATGAATTAAGATTCCATAAATTACATATAATAAACTTTGGTTCTCAATTTTGGTATTTGAAATAAAGATAAATAAGCAAATTAAAAGTCACTATTTGTTCAAGAAATGCATCAGCAGATGAAGCTTCGAACCCACTTCAAAGCATCGACATTTTCTCTGAGTTCATATAGAACATAACGAGTTTTATACTCCTTGTCAAATTTCTTCAGATGGCCCGATATTGTTGAAATACTGGCACCCGTTATCTGAGACATTTTTCTGACACATTGATGGAGTTTTCACTTCTTCGACAAGTGTTTTCAGATGTTGCTTGTCTACTTTCGATGGACGTCTTCTACCACGGTGAGCTTCAAGACTCGTATCCCCACTGTGGAACTTCGGAAACCAGCACCATACTGTCCGATCACTATGTTCTGTTAATGTTGGCAGTGGTTTTAGAAGCATTAAGATCAAGCTTGAACTCTTGCAAAAGAACGTAAATGCATCTCTCTTGTTTTTTTTCGTGCTTAAAAATAAGTCGAATGTCAGGGTTTTCAGTTAAATTCTTAAAAATGATTGATATAAAATTAACAAAGAGGACACTTTAGTCATGAGGAATTAATTATATATTTTGTGCCCAGCTATTATAATAATGTATTTAAACACAATTAAAAGGTTTATTTTAAAATCGGGCATCATTTTTCGAACAACCTAATACTATTTTTGAGCAAATACCCTAGTTGCGTCAGGTATTTGAGAACAGAATTCAGAAAGAGAATTGATATACCCCGGGTGCGCCGGGTATTTGAGAACAGACATCAGAAAGATGTAGAATTAACAAAGAGGGTAATTTAATCGTCAGGAATCGGTTAGAAATTATTTGTGCAACTTCTGTAACGATAATGAAATGGTTTATTCTAAATACGGACTTCATTTTCCGACTTCATTTTCTATTGTTTGCATACACTCACTCTGCGTCAGGTATTTGAGAACAGAATTCTGATACAGACTTTTTAGCATGTGCCCTAAACTAAAGGACTGGGAAGGACTAGTTTCATACATTTTCTAATTACCTTAATTTTCCAGTGGCTTTTCTATGCTGCCTCAAAGTAGTAGTGACATATGGTCTTGAAGATCTTTTGAACTATGAAATTGATATCCACCTTGCAGGGGTAATTCCCATGTCTTCATACACACACAATGTATATTCCCCACTCTCATATATCTATATATAAGGATTGGAATCCAACAGAATGATAAGACAGAATGAATAGCAAACATATATCAATCTAACAACTCGCTTTTATTAAAGCTTTATCAGAAAATGAGTTACGGAAAAAAGAAGAAATTCTGGTATCTTTATTTTTGTGTTGCTTAATCAGGTGACATGTGCATTTGATTTGTTAAACAAACCTTAGTACAATTTATGGCATTCTAAATATATATATATATATATATATATATATATATTCTTATATACCAACAAACAGTATTTAGAAAAACATGACAAACTAGAAAATTTCTTGTGACATCTGATGAAATCCTAACAGATAAAATAAGTCACAAGAAATTTTTATAGTTTATATATATATATATATATATATATATATATATATATATATATATATAATGTGTGTGTGTGCAAATATATAGGAAAGAACATGTTAGGTAAATGATACGAAGTTCTTTAGTATTTGTGTTTTTATTTTTAAAAAAGTGCTCAATACAAAAGTAGAGCCTAAATTACACCCTTATGCCCCTTATTTAAATTATTGCTTCAGCCATTTCCATAGTAATTAATTTTACAAATGAATCTGCTTATAAAAATGTGTAAATTTCAAGATTAGTTATTCCAAAAATTTCACTTGAAGATGAAACAGGGCTTGATACTTTAATTCAATTTAATTTTATTAATTATTTTGAAGTTTTTTGCTCGTTTTTGAAACATGAGAACTCTTATGTAGCGAAGGAATCATATTTTTACAATTAT